ACATACAAGGATTACAATGGGCCAATACATACATATAACAAAGTAATAGGCTAAGTAATACTAATAAAGTATATAATAAATATGATTTCGCTAACACCCCCCGCAGTTTGATCAGGAGGAGCATTTCGAATGTTCAAACTGGTCTTGAAATCGATGAAGAGCTCAGTCGGAAGACCTTGCGTTAAAATGTCTACATATTGAGCGGAAGACGAAACATGAAAGACACAAAAAAACACCACGAGCAACAAGATCACACACGAAGTGAATGTCAATCTCTATGTGTTTGGTGTGTTGGTGTTGGACTGGGTTGGATGTCATGTAAACTAAGTTGATGTTGTAACAATAGATGATAGCAGCTTTGGCGGGCGGACATCTGAGCTCTCTAAGTAAGTTACGAACCCTACATGTCTCTACTACGACGGTAGCAACGCCATGGTACTCTGCTTCGGCACTGGACCGGGAAATGACTCCTTGTCGCTTAGAAGACCAAGATATGAGATTGTCACCCAAAAGTACACAGTAACCCGAGGTCGATCGTCGCAAAACATGGCATCCTCCCCAGTCTGCATCATAGTAAGCATGAAGATCGGACATGAGAGAGATGTAAATCTAAAGGCCATGGTCAAGATTCCCTCGCATGTAACGTAAAATACGTTTTAGAGCATGTAGATGAGGCTCCCGGGGATCATGCATAAAGAGACAAATCTGTTGAACGGCAAAGGCAATGTCCGGGCGCGTGAAGGTGAGATACTGAAGAGCCCCGACAAGACTACGATAGGAGGAGGGGTCAGCGACAGGAGGACCAGTGGCATCAAGCTTGTGTGTAGTCTCCGCATGCGTACGAGCTGGATTACATTGAAGCATATGAGTACGATCAAGGATCTCAGATGCATACTTTCGCTGAGAGAGAAAGAGACCATTAGAAGATTGGGTAGCAGTGATCCCAAGAAAATAATTGATAGGACCAAGATCAGTCATGGCAAATTCTCTACGAAGCTAAGTAATGATGGACTGAAGCAAATCGGCAAAAGACGCAGTCAAAACAATATCATCAACATACAGTAAGAGATAGGCAGTATCGGCTCCATGCTGATAAATGAATAGGAATGAATCTGTGAGACTATGATGGAAACTTATGCGAAGAACATGTTGAGAAAACCGCTGAAACCATGCCCGAGGAGCTTGTTTGAGGCCGTAGAGGTATCGTTGGAGGTGACATACATGATCCGGGTGTTGGGGATCCCGAAAGCCCGGAGGGTGGTGCATGTAAACAGTCTCGTGAAGATGGCCATGAAGAAATGCATTATTCGCATCGAGCTGGTGAATAGGCCAGTTTATGGAGACATCCAAGCTGAGAACGGTACGTATGGTGGCCGGTTTGACAACTAGACTGAAAGTCTCATCACATTCTATCCCCTGGGGTTAACTGCGCCCGTTAGCAACTAACCGAGCTTTGTATCTAGAGAGAGATCCATTAGCATTAAACTTCTGCTTAAACAATCACATAGAACGAACCACATTGGCTCTCGGTGGTCGTGGAACAAGTACCCAAGTATCATTCGTAATAAGAGCATTATATTCGTCGTTCATGGCTTTATGCCAATTTGGGTCTTTCAAAGCCTGGATGTGTGACCTCTGGAAAGGGGAAAGGGAGGAGGTGTGAAGATTAAGACGTTGAATGGGTTTCACAATGCCACTTTTAAGATGAGTGTGCATGTGATGAGAAAGAGGAGGGGGTGGAGGTGGGGGTGGGGTTAAGGGTGGTGGTGTGGGTAGAAGTAGTGAATCATGAGAATGAGAAGGATGGTCTATGTTATCCATGCTAGGAGGAGTGGTGACTGATGGAAGATTGGTGGGGTGAAGTATATGGTGAAGATTCGGAGAAACATCAAAATCTGAGAGAAAGTCATAGGAGGGAGGATCGGTAGGGGTAACCAAACCATAAGGGAAGATAGACTCATCAAATATGACATGATGAGAGATGATGATCGTTCGAGTGGAGAGATCAAAACAACAGAAGCTCCGATGATAGGTGGGATAGCCAAGAAAAATACAAGGGATGGATCAAGGTTGAAGTTTATGAGTAGTTTGAAGGCGAGGAAAGCATAAACACCCAAAGACACGTAAGTGGTCATAAGTGGGGTAGTGGTGGTAAAGGCGATAGTGAGGGGTATCATAAGATATAGCAATAGAGGGTAATATATTAAGAAGGTGGACAACCATGTTAAGAGCTTCAGGCCAAAAGGTGGGAGGGAGATGGGAGTGAAAGAGTAATGTACACATCATGTTGTTGATAGTACGGATAATGCGTTCAGATCTTCCATTTTGTTGAGAGGTGTGAGAACAGGAAAAGCGAAAACTGATGTCGTGAGACGCAAAGTGATCATGGAAGACTTTGTTATTGTACCCCCCCGGTTGTCGCACTGAAATTGTTTAATAGAACCCCCAAATTGATTTTTAATGACATTAGAAAGATGTAAGAATTTTTCAAAAGCTTCATATTTTTGTTTAAGAGGATATACCCAAAGATAGTGAGTATAATGATCAAGAAACAAAATATAATAGCATAAACCACCACAACTAGATATACGAGATGTCCACAAATCAGAGTGAATAATCTCAAAAGGTGCAGAAATAGTAGAATCTGACAAATAAAAAAGAAGTCTAGTGTGTTTGCCAAGATTACATGCATGACAAGTTACATTATTTTTTGGCAAATGACAAGAAATAAAACTACGAGAAAATAAGTGCTTCAAGACTGGATCTCCAGAGTGAACAGGTCGTTGATGCCACGTGGTTGGAGTGGTGGTGACAAAGGCGTGGCTGGTGGGGCGAGTAACTGGGTAGAGCAGGTCAGAGTTATCACAGTGGATTAGAGGGCGACACGTCTAATAATCAAGAACGGTAAAACCATAAGGATCAAAGTCAATAGAGCAGTTATTTTTAGTAGTAAATTTGTGAACAAAGATAAGGTTTTTAATGATATTTGGTGTGATAAGAACATTTTGTAAATGAAGAGGAAGATAAGTATTAGAAATAGGAAAATTGGAATGTCCTGGGGTCACAACCGGTATTGCAAAACCGTTACCAACATAAATAGATCGATGATAATGATTATTAGAATAAGATGTAAGTATACCCGCATTAGCATGAACATGATCGGTTGCCCTAATATCCAGGACCCAATTTCCAGTTCTCAGGTCATCAAGAGTCATTGTGCTAAAAAGAGCGGGAAGCAATGTGGGCTGATCAGTGGACCAAGTCCATGGTGGCTGAATTGGGCCAGAAGTATGCAGATTTACTTGTGGGTTGTTGTTGTTGAAATTGTCTTGCTGTTGGGATGATGTAGGCCTGCTGCCAAGAATACCTTGGCCACTCGAGGTGGGCCTGTTCCACTGCTGTTGATGCTGCAATTGAGGTGGACCAACCCATGAATTTTGGGTAGACGAAGGTGCAGTTCAGAACTGTGGAGAGATGGGCGGTGGGTGATAAACCCAACAGTAGGTTTGAGAACGAGATAGCTGCCCCCCATTGGAGCCGTGCTGCGGATGTCGAGAAGTTACACCACCTCGGCTATTGTTTTGACCACCACCACCACGTCGGTTTCCACAGTTGGAGTTATCGCCACGATTGGAAGTGTTAGTCCTGACGTGTAACAGGGACGGAGAGGACGAGTGATTGCCGTGAGTCTGTGTAGTGATCTGAGGATTAGAGAGATGAGTCTCTTCCATGGCGAGCATGGATCACATCTCCGAGAATGAAGGAAAAGGTTTGGTGAAGCGGATGATGCTAGCAACACTGTCATACTTGTTTGTGAGACCATTTAGGGCATGAAGGATGATGTTTCTTTCTTTGAGAGGTTCACCAAGCCCTTGCAACAAATCAACAATTTTCTTCACCTTTTCACAGTATGCGTGAACAGAAAGGTCGCCCATGGAAATGTTTATGATTTCAGATTCTAATTGCATGGCAGCTGCCTCTTTATTTTCATAGAAGAGGGAGTGAATGTTGATCCACACCTTACGGGCAATAGCTTGAGGAGAGTGAGCGGAAGTGATCAGGTTCTGAGAAATAGAACCAAAGAGCCAAAGTGTTACCATATTGTCAAGATGTTGCCATTGCAGATCAGTTGGAGGTTTGTTGGTCGGGTCGTAAGTATCGTCTATATGGTCGAGAACATCGTATGTAATGCAGTGAGCCTTAAAGAGAGTACTCTAGAGTTCATAGTTGTATGATTGTAAATCAAGGATGAGAGGCACATAGGTCTTAATGTTGGTAATTCCATATGCTTTGTGGGGAAGGGTGTTGGAAGTGCTTGATTCTCCTGGCATGATATATGAGGAGGGAAGAACAGGAGATAATAGAGATCAGAAAAATATGGAAGAAGAAGAAGAAAGAATAAAGACGGCACATGGAAGGATTAGCTATGCTAGGGTTGAATAACAACGTGATACCATGTTAGTCACCGTATTTTCCCATGAATTGAGATGTATTACTGAATACGTATAAATACATACAAGGATTACAATGGGCCAATACAAAGAGGGCCAATACATACGTATAACAAAGTAATAAGCTAAGGTTTAGGCCCAAGTCTGTTAAGGTTTAGATTAGGTCTCTTATGTATCCCTATTTATATGAGGTTTAACCTCACTATTTATCAATGAAGCATTCTATTCTATATCAGAGTCATGTATGCATGCATGACCGAACCTTGCATCGAGAATAAGCATAACATTATTACTTGTAAGGAAAATGGTTTCTCACGAACAAGTATCACCCCTTGTTAGGTGGGGACATCGACTCTTTCATATATATATTCATCACGAAGAACAAACTATAACCGTGAAAGTTTAGTGGAGCGTACTTCATATCATACTTGGTATACACGCAAGTTTGCCGATATATTTTTGCACGATTGTTGGTTTTTGTTTTAAGTCGAAAAATCATGATAAAAAACACTTTCAATATGATCATTTTAGTGAATAACTCATTGATCATTTATATTAGCCGTTTCATTTAAAATTAAATAAAAAATACACATTCCAAAGAAATATATACAGAAATTGCTAAACTCTTCAACTGTCATCATAACTTAATGGGAAAAGAGATGAACGGTGGCTTAAACGTTCTCCAAGGCGGATGCCACCCATTCTAGAATCCTGCAGCCGTAGCTGTCTCATAACCCATGGTGGATCACATGGTTTAAGCCACAGGGCTTCACCCGAACTCCTGTGCTTAAAATCCGGTTGTCTTGGATTGATCTTGGATTTTCTTAAATCTCGCCATTCATATGGATTTGTGAAGAATACTTGCCACAAATGAAGACGTTTTCTGTGTTTTTCTAGAATTGATTCCCCAGAATCTGTTACATGAGGGAGTGGTAGGATTAGAATGATATAAAACACATTCATTATAAGTTATATGAAAAAAAACAGAAAACCAAGGAATTTACCTTGTATAATATTCTTGGTATTTTTATTGTTACTTGCAACATAATTTATTTCTTTCACAATAACCTGCAATGAGTTCAAGGTAAGAATAGGTTCATATGGAGAGATGCATATAGAAAAATATATATAATGGTATTTGTGCTCCTATATTAATTTATGTACATATAAACCATTGATTGACTGTGAAACCATTATAAATTTGAAGTACCAACTGTATAGAAACATTCAGAGATCCCTTTTAGCTTGTTTTTTTTATGAGTACAGGATACAAACCTTTGGTAGCAATATGATGTTTCCATTATTAGAAGCTAGTGTAAATGATCGTAGATACCCTGAAACATATATATAGTCATTTGGTTTTAGATGTTGGATACATAACTCTGCCATATCTTCCCACATATCCAAGAATATCCTGAAGAGAACACAAAAAAAATTAAGTTTTCCTACTAACAACTTACTGAATACAGACTATGAGCAAGAAGGAACACAAAACCTTATGTATGCAGTATGCTCATCTAAAATCAAGTCTAAAGATAAAATTCACCAATTATGTTGTGGGTGATATCTATAAATGATCTGTTTTTATAATGCTTCATCAATTCCGCAATTGGAATCACATCTATAAATGATTTTGGCGAACTTTGGGAAGCTGAAATTACTTTCAGTTGTTAGTTATGTTAAGGTCATCAAATTTCACAAGTAGTTTCCCCAAAAAAGGAGTACTACTTGGTGTGAGGTAAACAGTATATCTGATTTTGGAATGGATTACCACCTACTTAATGGAAGCTTAATAAGAGTCAGAATTAGTGAAAATGAAAATCAGTGATAATCATAGTTAAACACAACAGTAGCAATCAATCAACGACACAAAACCTAAAATCCTATAGATGCATAGGGAAATAAAATCTAGGTTAGTATGAATTCTCACATAAGAAACCTGTTTGAGCCCGATGGAGACTCGACTTTGAGGCGAGTATGAGCACAGAGTAATCCGCCATTCGTGGTGAACTTTTTAAGAGGGGAATTGACTCGGCCAATGAAGCTGGCGTGATTTTCCAACTCCTTTTGCCACCGAATTGTGGGAGGACGTTGCGTTTTGAGAGTGTGCCGGTAGACATCACTTCCTCTGCTCCGTTTTTCCGAATCACCGAAGAATAACGAACGACTCCGGCAGCTCTGGTCGTCGGAGGATGAAGAGAAGAGTCTATGTGCTTGCAGATGTCGAGAACACGGTGAAGATATAAACAGTCGCACCAGAGGCCGGAGACGACAAACGTTCGCGTCCATGGTCCGGGGTTTAGCTTCGGCCTTCCGGTGTGCTGAGGTTGTGGACTTATAGTTATGGGCTTTGAATTCAATTGGGTCGATTTTGAACTTTTTGATTAATGTTTTAGCCTGAAATGAGAAACAATAACCCAAAATGTAACCTCGACAATTATTATCCCGTCCACCAAGGTAATCATTACTTTTTTCATTTTTGACTTTTCAGAAAAATAAAATAGTGTTCATTAAGATTTTATTCAAGGTTGTCAAGATCGGGATCCTACGTAGGATCGTTTTTTGGTTTGCAAGATCGGAATCGTAAGATCGGGATCGGGATCCTAAGATCCCACAAAATAAAATATAATTTTAATTTTTAATTTTTAATCATGAAAAATATTTTAAACATTCAATTTTTCGTTCAAAAGTTATAAAAACTTCAAAATATTAGTCATAAGTAACAATACAAAATAATAAATGGTAAATTGGTAAAGGGTAAAAGACATAAAAAGGTAAAATAGTTCATTTGAAAAAAAAAAAAGCAAGGGAAGATAGGATCGGATCGGATCTCGATCCTACGATCCTACCTACGATCTTACGATCCTACCTGCGATCCTACACCAAATACGATCATTTTACGATCCGGATCGTTTTTCATACTTAGGATCGTAGGATCGTAAGATCCTACGATCAGGATCGCGATTTTGACAACCATGGTTTTATTATTAAAAGTACTGGACAATTGCAAAGCCAATGAAGATTTAACAACAAATTATAGAAGCTACTAAGGTTTTATTAATAAACCACAAAGTGAAGAATTGCAGAAGCAGGTGGCTGTAACACTTTTGATTAAGTAAAAAAATCATTTCAACAAACATAGACATAAGAGTTGAAACAAAGAAGCACAAAAGAGATTTCAGAAATAAGAAGCATAAATAAAACCAATTGTTTCCAGACACAAAAGAAGCATGAATGGGTTTACTGACTTTAAAAAACGCAAACTACCATTTAGTAATTTTTAAAGCACATAAAAGTTTTACGATTTTCAAATTTCAAGAAAGAATCATAAATAGAATCAATGACTTTCAAACACAAGAGCAAAAGAAGCACAAATGAGCTTACTAATGTTGAAACACAAACTAGAGTATTTGATTCAGATTAGAGAGAGATTGAGCCATTGAGCATTAACTTGAAGACACGAATTTATTGTTGTTCCAGTTCAAGAAGGCGATTACGATTAACAAGATAACAATTGAATTAGTTTTCTCACGCCAAACCTGATTTTAGTTGTCGCCCGCTTTTTTTTCATCAGCTGGGTTTGGTTTGGACCAATGCAATAAAACTTACATTTTAATTTTTAATAATATAAATAACTAGATAATAACTTGTTTGTGTAATACGGTTGAAAAAGTAAAATAGCTTTGAAATTTGTAAAAGCATAAAAGAAATCTTAGATTTGCAAGCAGGTGATTTTAAGGATTCTCCTAGTTTCTTTCTTTCTCTGTTAAAGGGTGATTGGATAAAAATAGTTTATAGTGGTAACAAACGGTTAATAAGTTATTTTTTGATAAGTTAACTTCATCTAATTTATTAGCTTATAAGCTAATAATCTAATACGTTATAAGCTAATAAGTCATACGTTTTTTTTTGTCAAACCCCTCCTAAGTCCTTAACAGATAAGTTGTATTGAATGGATAATGATATCCGAATGGATAAAATATTATTGATATAAACACTATTTTTTTTTTGGATTTAATATACTTTCTGAACCCAAATAAATGACTATTTTACACTCATATTTAGAAATGAAAAATAACCAATGACCATTTATTTAATAATCATCATAAATTAAACATATCAAGCACGAATAAAATGTCTTTAAAACTCTCTTGAGCTTCAATATGGAAATTAAGTTTTAATTATAGATTATAATAAACAAATAAATGAAACTAAGTTTCTATTTCTAACATTTAGCCGTTAAAAAACAATTAATGCCCTATACATATCGGTGACAAACTAGTTACAGAATTGTCGCAACATTTTGAAATAACACTGACATAATACATCCATTCCAAAAAAACATTTTGAAATAACACTCATTCATTAAATATTTATAGATTATTTAAATAATAAGAAGATTAGGATTAAATGTACATATTATGAATTCGGCTAATAACTTTTGGTATCATTTTATTATATTAAAAAGTACTAGTTGGAGTGTTTTTTAATTTTAAGGGTAACAACAAAATAAATGTTTAATTGAAAATGAGAAATAATTTAAGATATCCAAATTTTATTGTGTTTACAAAAATAAAAAATAAAGAGACAGAGAGATTCTGCTTTGGCGGGACGTGAATTCCTTTAGGGGAAAATATGGAAAAAAATATAGAATAATGGCCGAATATTAAGGTAGTGTTTATTTTTTGTCTTCAGATCTGCGTGACCTCTTCTGTCTGCGCAGCGCAGACCACGCGTAGACATTAGCATGCACAGACTGTTTGTTTTTTTGAAGACCGCAGACCTGCAAATGTCTGCGCGCCCTCTTCTTGGCGCAGATGTGGACCAGAGTCTTCTAACATCTTCAGACATATTCTAACCTAAAAAAACATATATATCTTTATTTTTTTTAAGTTTTTTTTAATTTATATTTTTTCCAACTTTATTAATGATAAACAATTTGAAAAAAAAAATTACAAAACTTAAAAAAAACGTTTGACGATACAAACATGATATTTTTGACAAATTTATAAATAAAGATTTATTACAATAATAGTCATTGAAGTTATTTATATAAATATGAAAAAAAATCATAATATATTATTATATTTTTTTTGCCAAATTTTGTAAAACATTATTTAATACAATATCGTCAATTTCTCAAGGAAAAATATTTATGATACGTTTTTAATGGATTTAATTGAAAAAATCGAAGTTTATTTCCATGCATTTATGTATCAAATTCTTTGATAACTAATTATAATGTTTAGTTATAACTTTACAACCAAAGTTGTTGGTTTTTATCAAATATATACGTTAATTCATACCATTTTTATTTTTATTTTTTATACAATAATACATAAAAGTTGATCTAGATTCGTTAATTATTTATAACAAAGTCATAAAAATATTAAAAAATCACTTTGAAGTTTAAAAAAATCAGTTTATTTAAATTTCAGTTTATTTTAGTAGCGCGCAAATGTTAAAAAAACAAACAGTCTTCTTTTTTCAGACTGCAGACGTTTGGTCCACCTCTTCTACTGCAGAGGTCTACAGATGTGGTCCGCAGACTGCAGACATTTTGCCTCAGAAAAAACAAACAACACCTAAGTGAATAATAAGGATGTAACGTCCCTAAGTTAGGGCTAGATGATTTAAAAATTACTATAGTTATTCATTTTATTGAATAATTAAAATCTTCAAATAATATAATTGTTAGTCGTGTGTGTTACAGACTAGAAAGACCTTTTATCACCAAGCGATAGAAATAACATTTTTTGATAAAAGATTATTTAGGATAAATAATTTTGATGAGAGTTGTAGTAATCTTGATAATGATTCTATGGGTATATAAAAAACTCAAATTTGAGTTCGTATAAAGAAGTTATGATTGTTCGAAGTTTTGCGTTCAACCATATACGACAAGGTGTATCGTAAAATATGAATCGGAGATAGGTTGCTTGTTAGCCTAAGTAATCTAAATGAAAGTCATAGTATCGTAAAAGCGAGAACGTGCATATATAAAGAACGTCAAAATCTGACTTTGTATTAGGAAGTTATGATTTTTCGAAGTTTCAGTACAAAGTGCGTGACACAGAAATCGAAATTAAGATCGGTAGATGGTTAGCCAAAACAATGTAAATGAGAGTTCAAGATCTCGTAAATACAAAACCATCGATATAAGGACAGTCGAGAACAGAGTTTGTATGAAGGAGTTATGATTTCCGTACGGACTATAACAATCTAATCTCCATTAAAATATGAATTTAAAATAGATTAAAAATTAGCTGTTGAGACCAAAGGAAAGTTGTAGTGGTCATCGAGAGGATTCTAGGAATATAAAGAACGTCGAAAACGGAGCTCGTATGCGAAAGTTATGGTCATTCTAAGATTTCATGTAACGCCCCGACTCTCAGGTATAAACTTTTAATCATGTATTTCCAACTTTTTAGGTCGAATCGACGAGTTGGATGCCCTGACTCATCGAGTAGACACGGTTTTGGTTGCGGGTCTTAAGTGACCGACTCGACGAGTCGAAAACGAACTCGGCGAGTAGGTGCTGAAGGATGAAACCCTAATTTCTGGGGTTTCACACCCTATTTAAAGGATCATTAGCCTCTTTTGGCCTCCCCTCACCATCCCCTTGAGCTCTGAAACCCTAATTCGTGTGTGTGCCCCATTTAGTGTGGTTTTTCAAGTTGGAAGGAAGATTTTGTTGCAAGGAGCTTGAATATCAAGAAGTGTGAGGGAAGGAACGTGTGTAGATCTAAAGTCTACCCCAGCTTAGCATCATTTGAAGGTATCAAGTCTTTACCTTAACCTTCTCTTAGTTAGATCCTTCTATGTTTGAGTTTTGGGGCCTTTTGGCATTTTGGTACTTCATTTGAGTGGTGAACCAAGATCTGAAGTTGCAACTTCAGATCTAGGCTCATCTTGGCCCTTACAATCATAAAGTCTCAGCCTTTAGCATGCTAGTGTGATCCTTTGCCTAAGAACCACTTCGTTAGCTTGAATTAAGTCATTAGCACCTTGCATGTACGTAAAGTTTGCAACTTTACGTAAGAAGTATGCCCTAGGAGCTTAGATCTGCAATATGGAGCCTTTGCATGACTTAAAACGCATCTGTATGGTTGAAGGGTTGAAGGGACTCGGCGAGTCATATGAAGATAGTCATGTACTCGACGAGTTAGATGGATAACTCGGCGAGTCCGATGAAGATTGCCTTGGGCTCGGCGAGTCAGTCGTATGACTCGGCGAGTCGGCTAGGGTTTTCCCCAACCTTTGGACACGCATGAACTCGACGAGTTATAGGGGAACTCGACGAGTCAACCAAGGACTTCACGACTTCTCG